CTCTCTCTCTCTCTCTCTCTCTCTCACACACACACACACACACACACACTCTCTCTCTCTCTCTCTCTCTCTCTCTCTCTCTCTCTCTCTCTCTCACACACACACACACACACACATTCGTAGGCAATCATGATTTGTGTGAGGATGGCCTCTCTTTTCTATATACCCTACCGTTGCGCACTTCTCCCATGATTTGACCCGTCGTTACTCCCCCTCAGTTCCGATTTTCTTGCCTTAACTTGAACAATTTGTCACTATTCTATCGCCCTGTAGGTTACAACTCTCCCCACAGCTGTCCTACCCAATACGTCTCGCAGGCATAGTTTAACAGCTCATACCACAGCTGCAGATGGTTTAGGCCAACTTCCCCCCTTCACGTTGGCAGTGACTGCAGCTCCACAGAGAGTGTTGAGTGCAGTTAAAGAGCGCGCATTGCTGATGCTCTACGCCTTCCTCACACTACTCAGACCCGCCAAGACAAAGCCGGAGATCTGCAGCACTTGCTCTCCTCCTCCTCTCCACAGCCCTTCCCGTTTTCAATCACCGGTGCATAATCCAAGTCCTCACAAAGAGGAATTGTTACAGTGTGAGTACTTGCACTAGGAACTTTGTCAACGGAATCTGGCTGTCATTGCATCCAGATACCTACCTCCAAGAAGGTCCTGCTACTAACTAAAGAGTTGCTGGTGCATAGTCGAAGTCCTCACGAAGGGGAATTCTTACGGTGGGTACTTACACTACGGACTTTCTCGACCGAATCTGGGCTGCCACTGCATCCAGATACCTTCAACAAGGTCCTTCTACTACATAGTATATGCCCTAGGGAGCAATCAATATCCTTCCTAAGAAGAATTGCCTCCATCTTTGCACATCTTTTCACCTCCCCGTCTCCCTCCCCTTCTCCTGAGGCATAAATCCTTCCTTGGAGACTGCAGGAAACAAACATAAACAAAATTTAACAAATCCATGAGAGAGAAGTAAACATACCAACAACAAACTTGACAAGGAAAAGTTGGAAAACATTAATTTTTAATTTCCTGTTTCCAAAATCCAATCAATTCGTTGGCAGAGGCGCGCAGCAAATTACCCGAAGTTGTCCTACCTTCTACGCAATCATTACTTAGCTGCAGGTGAAGCTTCTACAGGCAAATCAGGCAGATACTGCTGCACAACTTCTTGCTGAGATTGAGGGGTTGGCGCAGGCTGCTGTTCTCTGTCAGTGCCGCTGCCGCCAATGCTCAGGATCGAAGGAAGCCACTTTCTCCCGCCACCTTTCTCCAACTCCTCTAGTCGCTGCTTCAACATGTGGATCTCGATCGCTAGCTGGGCGTCCCTTTGTTTAAGATGCTGAAAAAATATAACAGACGACCAACAATATCCGTCACAACAATGCGAAAAAGGACTCTTCAAACATGAAGGAACAACAAAGAAGCGGCAGATATTAAAAAAAAAAAAAAAAAAAAAAAGAGATCAGCAGAAAATGCCCATGCAGTGCATGCACTCACTCCTTTTATGCAGCCAGCTACCGTCTTCCCCCGAACACAATGCACCATCATTTTGACTGCATCGGGACGGAAAGATGGTCTGTATACATTCATTATCAGGGTGCGTTATGTTCGGGGGAAGACAGTAGCACAGAGGTCTACGCCTTGCCCCCTTCCATTTTAATGAAAAAAATAATTCAAATGGTCCTTCACTTCTTTTTTTCTTTTTTTTTTGGAATGGTCCACATCTTTGCGCACTCGCACAAAAAGTGGTTCTTCACATATACTGACCTGCACAGCTACCGACTAAGAAACCACAAGGGGAACAGGTGCAAGACAAAAGGGAGGAGGGGCAAGGGGGGGAAGAAGGAAGGGGCAAAAGTGGTCAGCAGATCTACAGGGAGCTGTATACAGTAAAAAGGCCGATCAGAAGGGACCATCCAACTTCTCCCACAGTAGTTCAAGATGATGGCTCGTTGAGCGCATTGAGCAGGAGGGGGGGGGGAGAGGGAATAGGCAGGGTGGGGAAGAAGTTGCAGAGAAGAAAACAAAGGCTTCTGTACAGATGCAGAATCATGGAGAGAGCATGTACCAGGAGATATAAAGAGAGTCTTAAACCACTAGTACCTTTGCCGCTTCAGAAACGAGGGAAAACACCAGCTCCCGAAGAATTCGGAGGCCGGGCCCGACGACAGCTGCCATTGATAAATCTAATTGGCGGCCGTCATTTCGTTTCGGCCTCCTGAAAGGTCGGGGGCCCGCTATTATCCAAACCGACAAAGGTACTAGTGGTTTAAGGAAACCAAAACAGACCAAAGCCATCTAAGAAATGAGAGGCTTTCCTGGCGTTTGCATCATTGATATTGTTTGGTCTCCTCGGTTGGTGAACCACATGAGCCCCGGGGACGGCCCTGGAGGTGGCTCACTAGAGGCCCATGCGAAGCACCTCTGTCGATCCCCCCCGAGACCATACGCCAGGCACACAGAAACTACCAATTATCATGATATGGTCCAATCCTCATGGTGACACGAGGCGCATACGCAAGTCGCCTAACAACGGGGAACTGCAAACGAGCAGGAGGTCCCGCCCCCCCAAACCGTGGCCTCTCTCTGAGGGCCGCCCTGCTGGCCGGGAGGCCTACTTACTAGCAGCACCCAGACACACAGCAGGATGGCCCTCAGGAAGGCGGACGCGGGGAGGGGACTCCCTTCCAGTTCCTCGGGCCGTCTATCAAGGCCCGCACGTCACCAAGTCCTCACCCTACTCTCATCCTGTCCATCATGGTGGGCGAAAGAAGTCGCATACAAGACACCATTGGGAGGCGGACGCGGGGAGGCAGACGGGCCCTCAGGGAGGCGGACGCAGGGAGGGTTCTCCCCTCCAGTTCCTCGGGCCATCTATCAAGGCCCGCACGTCACCAAGTCCTCACCCTACACTCATCCTGTCCATCATGGTGGGCGCACGAAGTCGCATACAAGACACCATCGGGAGGCGGACACGGGGAGGCGGACGGGCCCTCAGGGAGGCCGACGCGGGGAGGGGACTCCCCTCCAGTTCCTCGGGCCATCTATCAAGGCCCGCACGTCACCAAGTCCTCACCCTACACTCATCCTGTCCGTCATGGTGGGTGCAAGAAGTCGCGTACAAGACACCATTGGATGTTACTGAAATGGATGATGCAGGCAGAGCTGTGGGCCCTGTGGACCCTTGCGAAATGAGCAATGCAGGCGAGGAGCGACTCCGCAACTGCAGGCATACCAGGAAAGAGCGCTGGAGAACATGAGGATAGCCCTGCTGGCAGACTTCCATCGCCATAGATATGCAGGGGAAGGAAAGGAGAACGGGTTTTGGGAAAGATAGGGGGGGGGAGTATCCACAACTGCTGACCCAGGAACCCCACACGGGCGAGATGCAGTTTGGCCTGAACAGGGATGACATAAGTAGAAATAGGGAGACAATCTCAGACAATCTCTCTAGTCCAAGTTCCTCGCTTGGATGGAGCATTGTAAAGCAGCTGTAAAATAGTTACAAAGAGCGACTAAGTAGATACGGACGACCATAGATGTACCATCGTAGTACGGAATGCGGAAGGTAGTGGGATGGGGGATAGAGGGCCAGGGGGGAGGGGGGCGGGAGGGGGGGGGGGGGGGGGGGGACGAGGTTGAGAAAAGAGATAAAAATGATAAAAAATGGAACAGTGTGGAGGACAGCTGGGGCAAACTGTTGAGAGGCAGGATATGCGAAGAGAGTAGCAGGGAGTAAGTGGGACAGGAGGACATAGAGGCAGGGCAGGGGATGAAGGGACGGTGAGGTACGGAGCAGAACACATGGAGACAACGAGGATCGGATAGGGGGCCTGAATAGGAAAGGACAGGGTTATTGTAGGGAAGGCATAGATATTCCAAAGGGTGGGATCTGAAAGGAAACAATGATCACAAGGGGATAGACGACCAAAGGAACAAAGACTTCGAGGCGACTGGGGGATGGGATGACTCATCTGGCCTGCGAGACTGCTACGAACAGCCCTCCTGCACCTCGCCTCCCTTGGGATCCTTCTGCTGCGTGACTGGGTGCTGTCAATAATAAAATTGATAAGTAATGAATAATATACAAATTCTAATTTTATCGATAAAATTAGAATTTGTATATTATTCATTACTTATCAATTTTATTATCCAGTAAGTGTCCCGGCCAGCAGAAGCCCCCCTGAAGGAAAGCCATGGCTCGGGGGGTGGGACGATTCGTAACAGCCCCTACCTTGCACAGGCAACTAGTGCAGCAAGTGCAAGGCTGAATCTTTTTCTCACTCTATCTTGTGTACTCTCATGCTTGCTGGTAATACGCAACCTGATTGATGCCCCCCAGAACAGAAGGGCGCTTGTGTTGATTGGGGGGGGGGGGGGGGGGGAAGGGAAAAAAGGAAAGAGGTGAGATGAAATGAGGGGTGAAAGGCACGAGGGAGATGGGCACATTCACGCCATTCATCATACCTCAGTTTCCATTTGCCGCTCTCTTTCTTTGCGAGCCTCAGATCGGGCACTGCGCTGATACTCCATCAAAATTATGACCCCTCCAACCTGCCTCCGAAATTCAACCAAGAAGAGGAAAACCGGGCACAAGGCATTGTTGATACCCTTCGACCATACCTGCCAATTGCAAGTACCCTCATGTTGCCCAC